CTGAAGTATACCCTGAGTTTGCCCGCCCCCTTTTTTTGAAACATTTCTACGCCTATGAGTGTGGTCCAGATAGAAATCAACCCATATTCCCCTAAATATTGGTAAACGTATTCGTCGCACATTCGTCGCTGTGGTGGCATTCGGCCGCTAACTGAACGACAAAACACGGTCAGCGACAGCGGTAGTCATTGGTGGTTCCACACCCGTCAAACAGTGATAGCAAAATGTGTTCCAGATGAGCCGTCTGCGGTCCAGGCTGGGCAGTACTGAACCGACTGCAGTCAGTCTATTGTCTGGTCACTTGTTTACGGTGACGCATCCAGTCATAACTCTGAAGGCGAACTCGAGCTTTTGAAAGTTTGCTAGCCTGTCCAGGTGGACGTGGTTCTTGAGGTGTCAGGTAGGGCGAGTGAAGAGCCGCAGTACGGCAGTCTTAACCATGGTTCTCGAACGAATTCAGTGAAGCCTGTGCAGTGCGCGGCGTCGCGCTGTCCCGCAGGGGCCACTCCTGGCACTGTTCGACCCTGTGAAGTTGCCCCCGGGCCGCTTAGAACAGCATCAGAACGAAAGTGATGTAATGCTCTTAGGCAGTGTTGATAAGATACTCGTTCTCGTCGTCCAAGGAGCATCTCCCGCAGGCGCATGATTTGACGAAGGTGAAATCACTCATGACTACCACTGTACTTTGTCACCTTTTTCTATTCAGTGCGTTTTCGAATGTCACCGAAGTCTTGAGTGTACGGTAAATGCGCTTGCCACTGTTGAGTAAAACGTAAGGCATCTTTTATCTGAGTCATCTTGTAAAGAACAGAAATTTCATATCGGTACAGCCTGTAATGCACCGTTCCAGGGCTTGTTTGCCGTCCTGATGCATTATTACACCGAGAACCTCCGGCACCAACGGGACGCATCACTCAGTACCCCTTGTGTCTACGCCCACGAAAAGAAGATATATTTTAGCACGTCTACCTTCACACGACTAGGAATCAGATGATATGCGCACTGGTCTCCCCATTTGTGATTAAGAGACTGCTTTCTAGGAAGCCATGGAATGTGTTAAATTGTGTGGAGAGGCCAGGGTTTTCCAAAGCTTAAGTCGGTATCTTGGACCTGATGTTTGGCGAGCCCTGATCCGGTTGCAGAATTCCTGGTCAACAAAAGAACGTTGCGGCGAAAGCCAGAGAACCCAACCTCGAGTCCAGATTTCAGACATCCATTGTACTGTATTGTAAGACCTTAGACGATTTTCGCGCACGCGAGACGGCGTTCATTATTGTGAAGTTCATATGCCTTTGGATTATTGTTGGACCTTTCACACTGTATGTTAATTGCGATTGAAGGCTTTCAAGCTGTTAATGTAGCCTACATGTGACGGCTTATTTTCCCAAAACATTGCATAACGATTATGGCAGAATGACAGCGCAGCTCGCGTCGGTTCATCAGCTCAAACACACCAACCATAACTTGGGATTGTTATATGCCATTCGTGGTATGTAAACAGTGAACAACTTACATGTGTTGTCTGCACCTGTTACATGTTATTCGTACCAGAAACATATGCACTACATTATATGCTGTTTTTTTGTAAAACTCTGCGAGTCAAAAGCTGGAGAGGTGTACCTTAAGTGAAAAACAGCTAAGATTTAAGTAATGAGTAAGGTCATTCAAAATTCTTAATTTGCGCTCATACCATCACAGGAAACTAAGCGATGCTTCACTTGATTGACTTATGTGTAATTATGCTGTTATCTTATTTGTTATTTTGTGAGCACAGGTAAATATGGCTAAATGCATCACAAAAATGTGCTGTTTGATTAGCAATACACTTGAGCAAAAGGTGCAGACTGGAAATTGCGCAGGACATTGGCCGTGATGTTCGCAATGTTCCACTCAATATGCCATCGTTAGTTGCCCAAAAATTTTCAAAATGCTTAGGGAACAGCACAAGCACCCCGCGTTAAGACATATGGTCAAAAAATCTATTTACAGAGCAACGATATCAGGACAACATTAGCGTTATCCACGTTAAAACAGGTAGTCGAAGACAGCAGTCAGTGATGTCATTAAAAGCAACATCAACCATTGATGACCTCCAAAATGAACACCGTTTTGTTCTATATGTCTTATACATTTTCGAAGCAAATGCCATGTTCACTGGGTCGTCTACCTTGTGCTTTGCTCAACTTTGCATGTAACAATTGGACAGGTTCAGCTGAAATCATGAACTGTAATGTTCTACAGTCCAAGATATTGAAGCCAGCATCAGATGTAAAATAACCTCTCTTATAACTATCGGCATGCTGTTACGTGGAAAAGACTGCTCCAAACAACACAGCTTAACCATTTTATAAATACGCCCCGCAACACGTAATGGTATCTTGCACATCGTTGATTGAAACCAATGGCCGGCTGTTGTGTCTGGAAAGCTTGCTCATCAACGTCAGATATGAACGACTCGACAATTATATTTGCATCGGCTTTGATCGTCGTACGACTAATGGGATGGCAAGATTTGAATAACGCTATTATGTCGTCATGGATGCCTGGGCGACTTCAAAATAGCCTTCCTGAAAAAGTCTGCTCATGTTTGCGGGCGTGTACCTAAGAAATTAGAGGGGTTTAGGTGTAAAAGGGAAGATTTCAAAGATGAAGGTAATGAACATGTGATGAATGATATGACATTAGACATATGCCATCAGATGTGGTGAAACAAACTCACTTATAACCATTGGTATGCCTTTTAAGTGAAAAAGACTATTTCTAGACATCACAAGTCTCTGTTAACTAAATATGCTGTTCGGTGTGCCATGGTTTGATTACGTCATGGTACCTTGCACAGCATTGATTACGAGCTAACTGGCGCCTGTTATATTTAAAATGGCGCTCACAAACGCCAGATATGAACACATCCAGCATTATATTTTTCCTGGCCTTGATCGTCGCGTGGCTTATGGAATGACATAATGTTAATGACGTTATTATGGTGTGGTGGATGACAAGGTAACTTTGAAGTACTCTCACCGATATACCCTTCCCCATTTTCGCGGGCGTTTAGGTCAGAAACTAGAGGGGCTTAGGTGTTAAGAAAGTCAGGATTGTGAACAGCACCGAAAGTTCTTCAAGATGGCTATTTCAGTTCAGAACCACATATAAGTGTGGAACACGCCCTTTTAGGAGGTCAGGGATGCGAACAGTGAGCTAGAATCGCTTTTAAACTAGGGTGGGAGTGAAAAATATCATGGGAAAAGGACCGTGCGGGAGTGAAAAATTAAATTCACAAAAGTTGGAACTTATGACTTAGTAAGGTATGCTGCAGCAAACAAAGGGTGGCAGGGATATAATATCATAAACATGACAAAATTGGTCCGTTTATTTTTAAATCTTAGGTTATTGCAGTGAAACAAAAGATGCAATGAAATTATCATTCATTAAAGAATAGTAATTTCCTGACAGCATGATGAGCATCAAAAACTATATGACAACAATGCTTTGATGCTGCACTTTGCACCTCCCTTCCACAGGATTTTTTAACACAAAACTAAGCAAAGGAATTGAACAATAAACACAACAACAGAAAATCCAAAAAACATTAAGCATACAAACAAAAAATCTGGGACCCGTTCACATCAACACACCACAAATTGAACAGAACAGGCACACCTCTGGCTCGTGTTAAGATGAGGTCAGGAAATACAAATATTATTTCACTGTCTCTTGCGAAATCAATGCTTAATTCCATGAATGTAACCAATTCTTACAAAATTCATGCTGCCACTTGCACTGCACTTAACCAACTTAACCTAATTTAGAGTAGCCCTTGTTAAACATCATCTCAACTCACCTCATCTATATTTCGACAGCAGCAGTTGTGTTAAAAACATGATAAGGCTTATTTTTGGCTGGTTTTAACCAGTGTTTTGGCTCAATTAATTTGTGTCAGCCTATTGACATCAGACAAAGTTGTAAACATGCAAATGAAAGCTACTCAAATCACTTTGAACAGCCAGTTTATTGTTGGCCTCTGGCATGGGCAATAGTGGGCATGCCCTATAAAACCATCTTTCTTCACCAAATTTAACATTATTTATACAGGGCCACAAAACTAGTTCTGCTGCTTGTCTGTTCAGCTGCCACAAAAACATCATTTATATTTCGTTGTGCTGATATTTCAGTGCTTAAGGTTTGAGATGTTTGCTTCGCATTTTTGATGGGATGGTCTATTTGCTAGAAACTTATATCCACCCCACCTTGCAACTGCTATGCAACTTAAGGTATTCCTATGTTGACAAATATAGTGTACATCTACTGTAGTCATTTGCCAGTCAGTAAACCATGGCGACTAAGGACAACATCTGGTTAAAGCAGACAAGAGGGACCACTTCAACAAATTTGAGGCAAATAATCAAGAATATGGAACAAAATAGTTAAATCACATGTCTTGTGGCATCATAACTTGTCTTATGAACGCAACTTGATGGATTTAAATAGACAATGACTAAATCTTGTTACAAACCATGCGTAAACCAAGCAGGCAAGGCTAGTAATAAGTTGCTTCACAGGAGAAACTTACCGGCTCGTTAAAGGGAATGTTTCACATTTGTATGGCGTTTTGAACTGAAATGGCCATCTTGAGGACAGTTTGATGCAGTTCACGGATATGCCCTTTTTAAGACCCACAACGCTCTGGTTCCTGAGTTACACGCCCGCAAAGTACGAAAAGGCTTGTATACAGCCAACTTCAAAATCGCCCTCTGATAAATGACGCCATAGATACGCCATTAGATCCACGTGATATTACAGGCTGTTTGTTATGGTCAAAACAGCATGGGCGCTGATACATTCGCAAAGGCGATGATGCTGCACATGTGGTACAGTCCGCGGAAGATGATTGGCTGTTAGCAATATTTTACTGCCGAATGTATGTCGCGAACATAGGCGTGAGCAATTTCGGGTTGTGCGGCACTCGTCGACGGGGCATTTTTCTCACTCCTAGGCAGTGTCCTGTTTGCGTCAGTGCGAGATGCCCAGCGGAAACTGTTGTGTGTGTGGTGATCGCAGGACAAACGAGAATCATTTCACTGTGTTGGTGTAAGTACCTCGCTCCCAATCTGTTAAAAACACTTCACACCGAATATGCCTGGCGTATCACCGACATCGCAGCAATAAGTTCAGGATAGGCACGTCTCAATATCGCATGCTGTTTCGAGTATGGTGTGTGGTCGATTTCAATTTTTGTCACAGTTTGAGGAATGGGCGTGCAATTATAGCAATGTCCGGCAAAACTGCCTTCAAAGATAAAACAAAGTCAATGAAAAGCAGATGCGCGCGGCAGTTGAACGGCGGGCGCAAGTGCTAGGAGCTGAGCTCACGGTTGCCACCAGTTTGAGAAATGGCTTTGTTTATGTGGTGTATTGTGACAACAAAAAATATACACCGTGCTAATTTTGAGAGTAATTGACTAGGCCCAAGTATGGCACATGGGCGCGGGTTTGGCACACAAATTTTGATGTTAGGTGGGTGTGGCAGAGTTGATGGGATTTTCAGAGTGAGTAGACAGGGATACCAACACTACCACTACGCAGCCCAATGTGAGTGATGACAAACACCTGCACATGGGATATTTCCTACTCACATTGTGTTTGAAATATGGGAGCAATTTCATTCTGGCATTTTTGAGGGAGTTCAAATATTTTTGCCCGCTCCCATCTCCTACCTTTCTCTCTAAGTTCATGGAGGCATCATGGAGGTTGTATTTACCTTGGCTATTTGATGTAACCACTTGCATAAATAGGTATGTAATTCAAGATTGCTTTTGCCAGTCACGTCAGGACCAGAGATATCAGTCTCAACAATTAATCCATTGCTCCAGATTGCAGATATCATCAGTGTCCTCAACCTATCACTGAATTATATGGGCTGTTATCAGATTTGCACTAAACTGAGCACCCAGTTGTCATATTCCGACAATGACATTACTGTTGGGATGTTACTGCAACTACTTCAGAACATCAAATTTGCTCACCATTCACTTAAGTTGGTGACAGTCATGCACCATGCTCACAGCTCGCAGAGTTCATGGGTGCATGGCCTCAGCTTGCATTACTTATTTTTGGGATGACTAGCATTTCAGCATGTGTCAGGCATGTTGGGCAACGTGGATGTCATCTGCAGTCTGTACTCCTGATGAATCGGCACTTAGCACAAGTATTAAACCACACCCTGGGGGCAGATATTTTCAGTTCGTATTACTCATTTGAAGTAGAAGATGTCCATTGCATTGTATAGTAATTCAATTTCCTAATTATAAGGATCATTTCAGATTCCCAGCTCAGCAAGGCTACCTACAGGAGAGGTTTGATGCATGTTGCATCAGCGTTCTGGCGCGTGGGCAAGGAGTGTGCGAGGCACATTTTTTCATTGGAAGCTTTTTCTAGCCTAGCAACTAAAAGGAAAAGGCTGAGGGCCAACGCTGTGCCATCTCTGCAATTCTGTGAATGCCAGGATTCTCTTTATTTTTTTCTGCCAGACCCTTCTGATTTAGCCTTGGCATTCAGGCTCGAACTTCTTTAACATTAGAGCGCATGTGAAATTTCCGTGACCATCTTTTGTCCCATTTGTTTTCATGTCTTCTTTTAGTCATTATTAAGTCATAAATTTTAGTATGCCTGTAAGCAAATGTTTACCAGTTAGTATATTGCGAAATGCATGGCATTGGGGTAGATTTATGATGTGTTGGTCTTAAATGGTGTAATATCAATGGTGTGTGTTAGCTAGGCTGACTGAGTTCTTCATTTCTGACATAAACAGTCACATGATGCAAGTAAAACATTGTTCTGTGTTATACTTGGAGCATATTTAACATTGCTGTCCTATAACCTGTACATTGTGTGACAGTTTTGTTCATTGTTAATCTTATTGATCATGATGATTGATGTACTTAAATGTTTTCAGCTCAGGGAAGGTGTTCCAGGCACCCCAGTGCTTCCAGCGTGTACGCCATCTCCAAGACCAGAATCTAGGTCAGAGTGTTTTCTTTTGGGGTTGGATTTTGAGCTTTAGTTCAAGCGTGAGTCAGTTTTCGTCAGTTCGTCAGTTTGAGCGTGCTGCGAGATTGTGCGGTTCGTGCAGCCACAGCCAGGCCATGCTATGGCGCTGCTGTGGTGGACGGCGTGGCCGAGGGACGCCCCGTGGCACTGCCCCGCCGCCCGGCTGGGTGCTGGGCCTTACTGGCAGCCAGCCAGCTGTGCTCTGGGTCCGCTTGTTGGCCGCGTGTAGCAGAGCTGTCAGGCATCTTGGGTCTTGCAACTTGATAGCTGGGTTCATGTGCATAGGCCGGCTGGATCAGAATCCGGAGTGACAGCCGTCCCTGGTCGTGGCTGGAAAATGACAGCTGTCCCTGACCGGGGCTTGGGAGTGACAGCCGTCCCCGGCCGGGGCTGGGGAGTGACAGTCGGCGGGCCGCCCGTCAGATCGAGTGCCCAGCTGTCGCCGAGCTGCCGGCACCGGGCCGCCGCTCTCTCCGGACAGAGTGTGCGCCGGCGCGGACGAGTCGGCGCCGGGCCGCGCCCACCCGCCGCGCTGGCACAGAATTTGCGCCGCTCATGCGTGTACCATATTTGTGCGATTTCGGCGTCGCTATATATTCAGCACTTGGTGGAAACACACTTGGGCGTAACATGTATCAAGCTTGGATAATTACCACGTTTGAATCAGCTGACGATGCGTTGTGTACGGGAGGCTGTGCCGTTGAGTCCTGCTCCCAATCGCAGTGGAGTGGGTGAACGCAGCCAACGAAATCGTGGTCATTGACAATGTCTGTGCCCCACAGAGGAGAAATCACTGTGCTCAGGGGTCGGGTGAGATGTCTGTTCCGCTCGATGCCGTGGCTATCGTGGGTGGGGTCGGGCCGCTGTGGAATGTGTCGATGGTGCTCCCACTGAGACCCCGCTTGTCGCCCGTCCGCATTATCGTGTTCAGCATCACGCTGCTGCTGAGCTGCGTGCCGTGGGCATACGACTCGTCGGCAGCACTGCCATGCCTCACCATACTGGCGCTGATCGGGCTCTAGTTTGGTGTGTCTGAGCCGCTCACTTTCGTTGTTACCTACTTCGCCCTCAACAGGCATGTGCTGCAGCACCCGTGGGCGCTGGGCGCGGACTGACGGCGGCCGCGCGGCGCCAACGGCAGCTGTCTCCTGGCGCTGGGCGCGGACTGAGCGTGGCCGCGCGGCGCCAACGGCGGCTGTCCCCGGGCGCTGGGCGCAGACTAAGAGCGGCCGCGTGGCGCTAGCGGCGGCTGCCTCTGGGCGCTGGGCGCAGACTAAGAGCGGCCGCGCGGCGCTAGCGGCGGCTGCCTCTGGGCGCTGGGCGCAGACTAAGAGCGGCCGCGTGGCGCCATCGGTGGCTACCCTAGGGCGCTAAGCGCGGACGGGGGGGGGAGGGGGGGGGGGGCGGCCGCGCGGCGCCACCGGCAGTTCCCCGCGGGCGCGCCGTGTGGCTTGACGACTCCAAGGGGCGCACTGAATACTCCAGCACAGCAGTACATGCATCACCTGCTAACACAGCAATGTGTAGTCATGGGTTTGATTATTTGTGGTATTCAGGATAGTGGCTAGTAGTCAAGAAACGGTTGCTAATCTTGTGATCGCGTAAAAAGCAGTATGGCATCGTTGCGCCCTTTAAGAGATTGGGATCAGTCCAGAAAGTTCTTATTTCATTTTCCCAAAACGAGCAAAAAAATATGATTACAGTGAGTGCCCTTCAAAAAATGCAATGGATGTTATGTACCTGGCGGTGACTCCGAGTAGCATTTGTCCGCCTCAGTTCGTATGTCTGCCTTAGCACGCGCGGCGGTGGGTGAGGGGGAACAGCGGTGTTGCTCGCTATTTTGCCCATGGCTGGGATGGCCTGCATCCGGTGGATCGATGTCAGAGGGCGGGGTGGACTCTGCCGAGCAATGTAGCATATGCAGGAACGTCATAATTCTTCTTCAAACGGTATTCCTACGATCAGATGTGTTCAAGGTGCATACTAGGTTCCGTTGTTTTGGACACTGATCCCAGAAATTCATTCATGGAAATGGTTTGGACAGAGTTATACAACGTCATTATTTGGTGGCTTGGTGTAGCTAAGTGGTGAAAGTTTTTTTTGTAATATGGTGTTTATGCTTGTTTTTGCTTTGCTTTTTGTCAGAATTATTATTTTCTGGGAAGCATGTTGTTAGCAACAAAAGTCCATGCTGATGGATGCCATTGTGAATTAATTATGACCCAACTTTGTTGGATGGTTCCAGAACGTCTCGCGTCTACAGCCGTATCTCCGACCAGTGCATCCTGTGGCAGGTGACGGTGTCGAGTACCTCTCCACACGCGCGCCCGCTCCTGGAGGCCATCGTGGACAAGCGTATGCAGGTCACCATCACTGGTCCGTCAAAGCACTGCGGTGTGGCACACCCAAATGTGCACCGCGGACATGGGCCGGACGAGAGTCGAGAGAGCCTGGCGGACAGCCGCACCCGGCACGTCGATTCCAGTAGTTGCATTTGTCATGACTAGCTAGCCCCGCTTTGCTCGCCCTGGCGGGCGTTAGGCATTGTCCAGTGAGGATGGATGCTCCTGGTAGAATGTCATGTGATATTGGTTGGGGAGTGAAATGCTAGTTCTCATTATCATTGAATGCAGAATGTGTCTTGCCAAAGATGTGTTTGCATGTGTTACTCACGTATTGGGGATTCACAAAACAGGCTGAACAAGTGGAGACACTTATTGGTTGTGTACTTTGCTGCGAGTGATCGGCATATTGTATCTGGCCAGTCGCATGTCAGATGCAGAGTAAATACAAGAAAACACACTTGACCAGCCTTCTCATGATGGAATATATTATGAAAGCAACGGGGGATTGCAGTACAAAAACCATATCAGTGTTAATTATGTCATGCCACAGTACAGCTCTGGAGTAGACCACAATGACGCTGTTGACCAGTGCCATCTCACAATGTACCACATTGGTTGACTGTTTTATGTCAAGCCTGCGAGAAAACAGTTTAGAATATATGAATGACTTAACAGCTGATTTAGCGCTGCCAAAGGACGTGAGCCGGAATGCCGTAACACCACGATGATTGTTTCAGGGCAAACTAGTGACTAAATAAATAATGATGTGCAAGGAAAGCATTCTTGGTGGCTCAACTTTACCATATTTACCATAGCAATAGCAATGATTTGGTGATCAATTCATGGTTATGTTACAGATTCATTGTTAACTTTGGCATGTGACTGCACTTCCAGTTACAAGAAACAAAAAAGCAAGTACTGCATACATCACAAGATATCAATGTCACGACTACAGCATTGCAGGCAAGTACGGGTCGACAGTTCAGTATTGATATCTTCAACAGTCCTCGGCAGGTTTCGGTTAGAGATTCACGACACTACATGACGGTTTTCACAGCATATCGCGGTTTTTATGGTGCAGATTCTTAATAATCTACCATAAAAGCCGGCGATCACTACGTTGCGTATGTCAAGCCTTTCACCAAAGCTTGTCCGACGACCAGTGTCAATACAAAAATTCACAACCAAGCCATTCACGGGCCGGTCACCCCACATAGCACTCGCCACTAGAATGGCCGGCGGGCGTCAGCTTTAGCGCGTTTCGAGGTATTCTTTAGGTTCGGCTGCCAGATGCTGCCAGGTATTGCTGTCGTCACAAAACCATTTCATGACGCCACCAAACGATGACGTAATAGGGTACATTTTTACAAACTTCGAAATTTTGCTACTTAGAGTCGTTTTTGAGCCTTGAAAACGTACCAATAGTTACAAGTAAGCTTTTCCCATCATATCTGGTGCTTACCTCAGTGTCTTCAAATGTGGAACATTTCCTTTAAGAGCACGCTTCTTCCCGCTCCCCCACATAAAAAGTCAGCGTCTTTCGCATGGTTTGCTGAAAGACAGGGTCATCCAACCCACCCACAAAATATAGATATCAGTTATGCTCACCCACCTGCAAAATAAAATGCGAAACGAGAAAGAGAAGGTCTGCATGATAAAGCAATTTCGTTATCAAACACTTCTGTATAAGCTGCGCCAGACCAGTCCCAAGGCCACGCGCGCTAGGATAATGTACCGTGATGAGGTCGCAAACCTAGCATGGCTTAGATTTATTATTATTGAGCTCGCCATGAACCAAAAAACCGCGTAACTGGGGGTTTAACAGCGCAAATCTTATGTTAAAAATAAGTCCAGTGCTGCAAATTGTCTCTTTCACTGCCTATGAATTGTTCACTCTTGGGTGTGTATCAAACTTGTTTAAGCGGATGGCGGATTAATACAAAGCATGTATGGAACATGTGCAAGTTTGCAAAATTTTGCAAAGGAATGGGTCAACGTTTTGAGCCATAGATAGAGTACTTGAAGGCAATCGGAAAGAAAGGAAAAATGAAGTTGTACTACGCTCGGATGATAAAACAACTAATTCAATGAATATAAAGAATGATAGTTTGTTGGTATCATTTTTTCGCCGGCTCACTGACTAAATTTCTGTAGAACTGAGTGTTCAAAGGGTGATATTCAGCTTTATAATTTCATTTAGAAGGCATTTCTTGAATTTTTCACTCTTGCATTTCGGGAGTGATGCAATTTAGTGGTCAAGTTTCTTCGGGTAAGAGAAATACGTGGAACAAGATTATCCACCAGGCTTTGCTGCCGTTTGTACCAGGTTTTGCTTCGGTTGTGTGGTGCTTGTGTCGTGCGACCAAAACAAAATTGGGGATGCGTGAAACTCTTGCGTTTGGCGCACAGCTGCAGTTGTGATCCACTTTGTAAATAAGCCTAACTTGGCGTATGCAAGCGGCTGGAGTCGCTGGGGTTCTTGGGCTTGGAGGTACCTGGCGTCCTTGCTCTGTGCATACATAGACATGATTCAAATGTAGGTGAGGCAGGATGTAGCCATAGGTGTCCAGTTTCTGTGGAGCACTGCTTATGCTTGTTGGTTTCAAGTGAGCTCGGTTTTGGATGCCACATTTAAGCCACGAAAAGGGAAACGTGGGTTTGATATGCGTGGTTAGACAATATCAGGTGGTAGTGAAAAATTCACACAAAACATGCGGGAACGGAGGGAAAAATCCTCCTCATCGGATGTTGCTTTATACACAGAGTCGGCAATGCTAGGACACCGGGATGTTTACTCCACCGAAATATCTTAAAGGTAGCCTTTTCAGTTAAAAGCTTCATACACAAATGCAAACGCTCTTAGCGTAATTGTTTTAGGACTTAGAAAAATTGTTATCACGGTTCAATTACCCTTCATGATCATTACGTCGAACGCAGCCACTGATTCTCTCGCAGGTAACTCCTGCCTCTCGGCCCCTTTGCAGGCCTGCTCTCTTTGCGAAACAGCTGTCCGCTGAACCTTCCGTGGGTGCTAACTCGCAGTTCTGCAGCGTGTCTGCATGATGTGATCTGCCCTGGATGACGCAACGTGGGCAGGTGCAACTAAGCGCTTCGACACTCTTGTGCTTCGTTAGCTATCTGTAGTCTTATGCCTCTCCAAGAAATGAGAAAGCCGTTTAAAGAGAACCGTGCATAAAATGCTGACCGCAGTGGGGGCCAATGACTGTTGTAAATCCTACTCCAAGGAGAGAGGGACTCGTTTGCAAAGGGCCACGCTAAAAATGCTGACCGCAGAAGGAAGTGGCGATGTTTGACATCACGCAGTAGCTGAGCAGGTTTAGTTCTCAAGCCTCTGGCCCAGGCGCCAACACAGAAGTCAGCACGCAATGACGGAATTTCCAAAAGGCTTTCCACTGGTCGTGGTGTTACGTGGTCCGACTGTGATCGGGGGCTTCGTTTATGGCGGTCGTCTGGCACGTGTCGCGGCTTTGCACGCCTCTGATCACATTTCGTGACGAGGACGCTTGTGGTGAACGACATCCTTTCGGGAGCTTGATAAAGACTCACCCCGCATATATCTGTGTTACCACACGCGGCTTGGCAGCTACCACCGCCGCCGGGGTATGCTTTCTCCCTGGTAAATAAAAGTCATGCAGGTGCAGCATAGGCTTTGAGGCGGGCTGGCCGGCAGGTAATGGTGTACTGCACGGCCGTGTTCAACCAATCGTGCCCATTCGACAGGGTAGATACAGACAGAGAGAAGAGAAGTACACGCTGTTGTGTGTCTGGTCCATGGGTTTGTGTATAAAGGCATGGTTTGTCATAATCTATTACGTCTCGAAAACCCGATGAAACCGCTAGAAAGCATACACTTCAATGACGTTATATAAAGGTGAGCACATCATCGCATACGCAAAATGACACAATAGAAGACTGCATGAACAATACACCGATCGCATAATCGGCGCAGCCTCACAGATACCCGAGGAAGTCGTGCGCGGAGCGACGCCAGCATAAACTGCATGAGTTATCGGCATAAAACACGTGTAAAGACAGGGAGCTAGAATCGCTTTTGAACTATGGTGGAAGTGAGAAATTTCGTCGCAAAAAGACCGTGAGGGAGTGAAAGAATCAATTCACAAAATATGGCACTTAAGAGCTCGTGACTGATGCTTTAGCAAGCAAAGACTTCTATTTCAAGTTGGCATTGACGTAATATCAGAAACCTGACCAAACTGTTTTACTTTTTTAACATCTTAGACCATTAAAGTGAAACAAAATACAACAAAGCATAGTAATTTCATGACAATGTGATGAGCATGAAAAATTATTAACACCACTAATTTGATGCTGCACTTTGCATTTTCCTTCCACAGCACTTTTAACACAAAACAAAGCAAAGGAATTGAATAACAAAATAACAACAAAATATTCGACAAACATAAAACGCTCAAGCAAAAAAACATTGGACACCTACACGTCAGCCCATCACCAAGTCAAACACAATAGACATACCTCTGGCTTCTGTTAAGATGGGGTCAGGGAAAACGAGCATTTTGTCACTGCTTCTTACAAAACACCAATGCTTAGTTCTATGACAGTAGCCCAACTGTGCCTAACCTAAGGAGGCATTACTTCATCTCATCCTTTCTAACCTGTTTGTATCACAACAGCAGTTGTAAGTTACTGATTGTTGCACAATTCCTATTGCCACTTGTCATGCACTTAACTAACTTAACCTAACTTAGAGTGGCCCGGGGGATTATCGCAGCACCTAATACTCGTAACCCCTAATGTATCACAACACCTAATGTTCGTAACTCCTAACGTATCGCAAAGCCTACTGTTCAAAACCTCTAATATATCATAACCCCTAATGTGTTACTATACCTAATGTACCATTAGGTCCAGTGTATCAAATCACCTAATGTCTCACAACTACTAATGCACTACCACTCCAAATATATCACAGCATCTAATGTATAGGAGCGCCTAATGTATCATAACCACTAATGTTTC